CCCCCCCTTTCTGTCTCAAAGATTCAAACTCAAATATAATAATTTTACCTAATAACCGCTTTCAGATTAAATAAAATGATATTATCTGTATGATTTATATAAAAAGATATTTAATATTGATAAAAACTTTGCATTGAAAATCATATTCTGATTTTCTTTTGAGAAGAACGAAACAAAAGATGATATACATTTTACTTTCACAAATAATTAATGTTGTTACCTAAATTTTTTCTAATCTTATTTATCTACTAAAGCAATTTATGGCATTTAAACTAAACTTCCAAAATTTGAAAAATCTTGTGCTTCTCATTTTCGAAAATTGATAAGTATATTTTAAGAAATGTCACTAAAATTTTTGGAATAAAATTAGCAGATTTAGTTATAAATGGTAAAAAGAGATTATGTAATATTTATTGTTAATTTAATTTCGATTCCTTCGAGAATGATGAAATATGAATATTTTTTTATAAATAATATTGAATAATATTCATACAAATAAAGGATTTTTATTGACTAATTGCTTTCTTCTGCATATTGATTTAAATTATAATAATAATCCTGAGCAGATCAAAATTAATTCTATAATTATGCCTGTCGATAGCAGGATTGCTTAAATCCATCCCAATATAATTTTTTTCTCTTGATTAAATTATTCATTAAATTCCTATATGTATAAAAATGAACTAAGTATAAAAGCAATTACAGATATTTCAACCACCATCTATACGATGTAGTTCTTTTAATTAAATATAAAATCATATTTGTAAAGGAATATCGTTTATATTAAGCTTGTTAAAAGGAGCAATCCTAACTAAAGTATTTGAGAATTTTAAACATAAATCAAGAATATCAAAAAGACAAATTATCTACCAAAACTTAGAATTTCGAACATTTTTTTGTCTTTCACTTATGATAATTGTTAATTGCCATTGAAAAAACCTAGTAATATGTTAAATACAGTAGAAGTATTATGCTTACGATAATGAGTTATACAATATCTAAGTAATTTTTGGTTGTGATTTTTCGTGTGTATAAAAGTGTTTTAAATATCATATCCCATCCATTGAGGAGTAAGGCTTTTTATAATCCTTCAAAAGACATAAATTTCTCCAATTTAAGCAAATCCAGGCAAATTTTGTAAAAGAATTAACTAAATTTCAAAATAATTTTTGGATTTATATATAATGATAGTGATGACATATAGTAAAAGTACCTAGAACAAAATATCGATCTGTACAACACCCTTTTAACCCATCTAAACAACAAAATAAGGAATAGAAATATTAAGCATTAAAATATTTGGCACTAAAGATTGATGATCAAGCTAGAATTTTATTTGTAATCACGAAATTTTCCATCAGTATATTCCTAATTTGACTAAATATCAATAGATTGTAAAAATTGAGGAAGTTACATAAAATCCAATAGAGGTTGAACAGTTATCATATCATTTATAGAAAAATAAATATCTAGATTTTGAGGAAATTATAAATTAATATATCTTAAGTATTGCTAAAATTAAATTATTGGCAAAATCTCTACAAATAAATCCCCACTTCCTGACAAAAAACTGATAATAGTAATTCCTGATAAACTATAAATCAAATATTTATTTAGGCTTTTCAAACTTTAAGAATAGTCCTTCTGTGTTTTATCTAGATAATTTGGATATTACAATTTTATTTATTTCTCAAAATCCTCTAAAATAGCATTATCTATATTAGCAACTTACTAATTTACTAAAATTTTAAAGAGTGGTCTAAATTTTAGTAATTAATACACTTCTATTTCGACAACATATTCTCCAAAACTCAAATATGATCCAACATCCTAAATTATATATAGGCTGTCTATTCCAGTACTTCTCGTCTATATCTGATAAATCAAATGTTAACGTTTCTGACAAGGGTTTTAGGTGTATATATTTTTACTTATTAATTGAATTAGATGCAAATATATTATTTATTTTAAGTCATATTTAGATAATTAATAACTAAGCTTGGAGCTTTGACAAATGTGCATTAACTAGGAGAATCTTTTCTCATAGTGACACAAACCCAATTTTATTCAATAAAACAATCCTTGCATCCGTCGGCTGCATAATTATTACCATCATCACATTCCTCTTCTTCCTAAACCAATCCATCTCCGCAATTTAATTATTATTTGCATTAATTTGAAATTAGCAATTAGTATTGATCGTTGCATTCTAAACAGGTACCTTGATAACAATCTGAGCAATTTTCTGGACAAGAATACTTACATTGATAACAACCATCAAATTTTATAATATTGCCATCATCGCCAATCTTCTTCTTTTGTGATAATTTAATCACCACAAACAGAGTGACAATCATTATTAACAAACTCATAACCATCTCCGCAATTCAAAATGCATTATCCTCTACCCAGATATGAAAGCCGGCTAT